TTAGAAGATATACGGAAAGATTCTTCAGAAGTGCTGAGCCATTTTTAGAAAAATATCTATTTTGGCATAAATTAAAAAGAATAACAATCATCAAACTTGTGGATTATTTTGTTGACCAAAAAAAAAAGTAGACGGATTATTCTGAGCTCTTAGAAACAGAAATGTAGTATTTTAGTATTTTCAGGAGTATTCATAAAAGAGCTTATGAAAAGGAAAAAAGGGTTCTAAAAAATCTAAATGTGATAGTTTGCTAGCGTTTATGAAAATAGAAATCTGCTTCCAACAATAAGTAAAACCTGGACGGTTGACAGGTTTCCAGTATTTTTTTGTTTATGGATGAGCACATTTTTAAAAATTCATTCAATTCATGTCTTCTTAATCTAATCAAATACTGAATTGAATTAAGATCTATTATATCAACCTTGCAGTCACCACATATATGAATTAGATTGTAAGTTTGCTTATAAAACTATGATTACTATATCGTCTAATACTAAAACAGGTTGGGTCAATATAGATATTTCTAAACATAGTGTTAAAATTGAGGAACAATTTGTTGTAAACAGTATAGGTAAAGACACATAGATTGTACTTTATTTTATTAATTAAAATTGTTATTCAACAGACCAGAGATGACTACAAAGAGCTGTTTAGTTAGTTATTATTACATTTTGATTAACTAATGCTTTTCATAATACAGTTATTGTTTTTATAAGGGACAAATATACACTGTAATATCTCTTGTACTATCCCAATAGAGCATTTCTTAAGTTAACCTAGACAGATTAAGGCAGTTGATAAACCTAAAAATGTTTTTTAGTTTTAGTTCCCACATCTCATGTGATTCAAAGAAACTCGAATAAAAGTACTATACTTGTTTCCGGGCAATTGCAAGGACCGAACTAAATGAATTGTGAAAGTTGTTTGTGGCTTGAAAATATTTGTTTTTCGAAATTATTTGTATTGCAAGAAATTGAAGATACTGTATATCCCTTGGTATGATGCTTTCTAAACCTGCAAAACTCCATTTCAGCATTTAATGTTTTTAAAACACCGTTATTTTTACAAATAATAAAATAATTTATTGTGTTGATGACCAAATATTTTTAATAATAATTTTGTTTTTTAACGGGTCAATAGTTCAATTGGTCAATAGTTTAATAATAAATTTTTTAAACAATTTTTTGTTTTCAAAAGATTCTATTCTAACCGAAATAGTCAGTTATCGGTATACCAGTCAAAATATCGGTTAGAATAAAATCCTTTAAAAATCAAAAAATTATTTCAAAAAGTTTATTATTTAACCAATTAGCCCGTTAAAAAATAAAATTATTATAAAATAAAAAATAAAAAAAAAATAACTAGAAGTAATAAAAAAAAACAATTGTGAACATTTGGGGTATTTTACAGAAAAATTGGACGCTTTATAATTTTTTGAAAATACCTGGCCATTCAAAAATTTTAAAGGTTCCTGACCAAAGGAAAGGAAATATATATTAAGGCACTTTAAAAAAGACTAATTGCAATTACAAATGTCACCATTTTGATTTAAAGGGCTGGTTTTACAGGTATTTATTAAGTTTGAAGAAAAAGAGAAATAGTGGAACAGACTTACAAAAATACCGAAATAATTGATCCGCTTCGTGTTGAGAAACATCCATTTACATAATCGTATATAGAATATAGAATATTATACTTTGTTTCTGTTTAGCAGTAAATTATAAATTTTTTTATTTTATTTTAAAAGTAAATTGTTGAATACGTTTTAACGTTTGATTACGTTTTAAATAATTATAGAACGGGGACTTATCGATTAAATACATATTTTTGAGTATATAGTATTTGTTTGCAGTAAACTTTTCGATTACAATAAAAAATTTCTAAATCCAATTTTTAATAATTTATAATTAAAAATTGTTTTAATTTTTAATAAATAATAAAATTAAATTCGTTTTTTTAAGGCTTTGTAAAATGGATTTTCCACAATTCTGCAGAAGAATAGTTCCAATCAATCAATCTAAACAATTTTTTTAAGTTGGATTTACATAGTTCATTTTATGTAAAAATGGATTTCCCTGAAATCAATGAAATGTAATGACTTAATACATGCAATATAATTATGAGAACAAACTCACATAATGGATATATGTAGATTCATGAAATAGATCCATGTAAGGTCGTAGTGTCACAATACAGTTTTGTTAATTTTCATGCTTCATTCAATATGCTCTCTTATAATTGAAACAAAGTGTTTTAGAATTGACAGTTTATGTATGTTCCAAATCTAAAATTTTTATTTTAACTTAAAATAATGGAAATAATAATTGGTAATAAACTTGCTGTTACCACAAAAGCTACTGGCCGAGTTATTTTAATTCGTTCAACCAAACATGTTTTGTGTCCTCTCAACAAATTATGAGACACTCAAGCGTGAATTATGTCAGATTGATATAATAACATAAATATACGTAACAGTGGCAAAATTTCTATGATGCATTGGAAAAGAATATTGAAACACAGGTGCGGACTTATGAAGTGACTTTCTTATCACAAAATGATTTTCAGCCACTTTAGTGCCTCAAAAAATTCTTTAATATTTATTTGATGTAATATTATTCAACGTATTATCTATTTATTATTCTATATACTATCTAATATGGTACATAAATATTTTTTATAGTCGGACTATCCAGAGACTAGTATTGCACTAGTCTCAACACAAAAAAAAATGATATTTTGGTATACTCTACTTCGGCAAAACGAAAAATGGTCATTTTTTATGTTATTTCTTAGAGGTTGTACTGTAATTCCACTTTTAATGACATAGCTTTGCTTGTCTTAATTAATGAATTGAGTGAAGTGACCAATTGAGCAACTTCATGTTATTAGTTCTTGTAATCCAGTGCCAGCTCATTGGCTTAAGATGTATTTTAAGATATATCATTCATTCATTCAAGTTAATATATATATTACAGAGCCAAGGAAAGCCCATACAATGGTTATATATTTTATATATATATATTTTTAATAAATTAGTTAAGTAGCTCAGTTATATTCGCAAGATCAAACGAATTTATGTGTAATACTTATGTGTACTGATTATAAACTTCAATAAAGTACTGCTTTGTTATTGATATAATATTAAAAAACTGAAACTATCTTTAGGGAACAAAAATTAAACAAATAAATAAAAAAGGACTTTCTATACACTTTAACATGTACTTATTCTTAATTTTTTAAGCATTATATTTTTAAGCAATTATATTTTAGATATAAAATTCAGTACACATTTATTTACTGGATTATTTTTATTGTACTCGATGAGGCTTACACTTTGTCGTTAGTTATTTTGACTTCATGATATAATCAAATAATTTTATTCATCTATTAATTTGATTTATCGAATATATCAAATTGTGTCTATTATATACTCTAATTCGATAAGCAAAAAAACTGAAACAATTTTTTCTACATATACCCTCTAAAGCAAGAACGACTGCTCTAAGGTGCGGAGGTGTGCGGCGCACACCGTAACATAATTTGCAAATTGTCAAATAATATATATAAATTTATTAAATATCTTTACATCAAGAATTAATATTGTTTATTACATTTTCATATATATATTTTTAAAGATTAAAGTTTTAGCAAAAACAATTAAATATAATTGTCTATGAAAACTCATTTAATTTGCTTCTCTTAGCTACCAAAATCGTTAGTTGTGCTCATAAGTTTGCACCTCACATCGCAAAACATTTCTATCGTATTTCGTCCTTCCCCTTTAAGCAATTGCATTCATAAATTTCTGTCATAAGTGTGCGCAAAAGTAGAATGAACAAAATAATGTGCTTAAAATATGAGAAATAGAGATTGAGAATTATATGAGAGTATTTTCTGTTCTATTCGAATATCAACTACATGTATAACAATTCAACATGTTGACTTGCCGAAGCGGTTAGATGTGCGGCTAAAGTTTGCAGCTCACATCACCCTACATTTCTTTCAAATTTCGTCTCTCCCCTTTTAGCAGTTGATCCAGCGAATAATAACCGCTTTGTGTGCGGAGTAGCTAGCCGCACATTTATACATTGTCGATTGTGTTGGATCACTGCGTAAACATGTATGGTTCTAAGCACAAACTTTTTTGTTTGTTGGTTTGATGTTATAAGATATATGTGAAAAGTTGTATTTATTCCATATTGGTATAATATTAAACTTATATATAAATTATTTATTGAATTTGTTTAATATGTTATTTTGTTAATGAATTATTAAATGTTATATTGTGAATATATTGTTGCGTAATGTAATATAGCTATTATTAAGAAAACATCTCATATATTTTAATTTATCATTTTTAATTTAAGTATATATGTACAGAAAAAATTTTAGAACGGCCGCACACCCTTCCAGATAGGGCACGCGTCGTCACTGCTCTAAAGACATCTATATATCAACAAAGATATCAAAGATAGGCGAATTAATTAATCTAAATAATCAAATATATATATGTGTGCCCATTAAATGTCACTCTTCTGAGCTGCGTTCCAAACATTCGAATACACCTAATACATATATCCTTTTTTTGTAAATAGTATGAAACGTAGAACATCTTAAATATTTTATTAAATATTATATATAAAATTTATTCAAATATCTTGTTATTTAATGACGTGTTATTCAGTTCTTTTTCGAAACTATTTCCTGGGCCTCTTCAATAATAAACTAATCCACTACGTTTAAGTGCAAAGTCGATAATTGAATTTAATAAAAGCAGCGTTCATGGCTTTTAAACAAATACAATATCAACTAAAGCGATAATTATAAAATTATTATTATTATGTGTATGTGATTTACAATTGTGGAAAGTACTAGAACCTAAAAGTAACGGCAACAGTTTATTGCATTTCGTCAGTACGCGTAGAAAGATATATTTTTCGCATACAAAAATTTGAAATTAAATATATTTTTGGCATGAAAGTTATAATTTATTTAAATTTTATTATATGTGTTATGTTTAATAAGTATGATTTTTGACGATTTTTGTCTGAAACTATATTTCTGGCCATTTTTATCATATCTCGCAACTTTAAAAGGATTTTGTCCATTATATCCTCCTGGATATTTTCCAATTATTACATTACCACCGGGAACTATTTTAACACCATCAACTATACCGACATTTCAACCAACGCCGCCAACGTTACCACCAACATTTACACCACCTACGTTACCTCCGACGATTACACCAACTCTTACTCCGCCAACATTGCCACCAACACTGCCACCAACTACATTACCACCATGTCCACTTATGCCATTGGTTTGTTTAGCAGGTGGACAAAGACCGATTCCATATTGTCCATGTATAGATCCTAGACAAAATGGCATGTTAATGGCACAAGCATCACAGGTTGTAGCTGCGGACATGATGATATTTACTTCCTTGGATGGTAACACCGGTCGTCGTAAGCGTCGAAAACGTAGAATTGCAAAAATAAAAAAATTTTAAAATTTAAGTGCAAATTAAGTCGATAAACTATTTTTAATAATTAAATAAAATTTTTGTGCCAAGTTTAAAAAAATAATTTAAAATTATAAATCAAAATGTCTATATTATTAAATATTTGGTACATTACATTTTTATTAGTTGCAAACATGTTGAACTCTTCAGCACAAGGTATAGTAATAAATTATTATAAGAAGTTGCCAATGAGTATAATAATTTGGCTTTTCTTTTTTATAATTTTTTTATTTTCTATAATATATACTTTCAGCCCAAAATTGTGTTGATTCTCGTAAACGTGCTGGAAGATGCATAACTCTATCGGGATGTCCTAATTTAATCGAAGAATTTTATGATGAAGCACGCACAATGCCATATGGTATGGATTTTCAAACATTTGTGAGTGAATTGATTTGTGGTTTTGATGGTGTGAACTTCTTGGTAACTTATTTTATATGATCTGATAAATTTAATATATATTAAATATTATTATATTAGATTTGTTGCGTTAATAGGCGTCCTTCTAGAAGTCAAATAACTGTTAGACCATTTACAATCGCAACTACCTATAGACCACCCACTAATAATCAAGCAGCGAATGGCATGTTTCAATTTGCATCACTTGGTGTTTTGAATGGAGGATCTAGTACAAATAATTCTCCACCACCAGTGGTACAATATCCAAATAGCCCCAATACTCAACTAACAGTTGCACCACCAGTTGTATTTCAGCCAACGATGTCATATCCACAAACAATTCCAGCAACAAATCCTTCTATCTTTCAACCAGTGCCAAATACACCTACTAACAGACCAAACATACAATTACCGAATCAATCAACAACACCAATTACAGGCTGTGGTATTAGTCGTGGTACTACTAACCGTGTAGTTGGTGGAGTTGAAGCTAGACGAGGCAAGTTAAAAATATTTGTTATAATAGTAAATAATTTTTTAATTATTATTTTAAAATTTATTAAAGTAATTATTTATTTTCATTTCTGTCTTAGGTACTTATCCTTGGGTAGCAGCTTTGGGTTATCGAGATGAATTTGATCCGAACGCTTTAAAGTTTCTTTGTGGGGGCAGTTTGATATCCAGTACTTACGTTATAACTTCTGCACATTGCATCAATCCAACTTTAGCACTTGTACGTTTGGGTGCGCATGATCTTACAAATCCAGCTGAAGCGAATGCAATGGACTTTCGAGTAAAACGTACAATCGTTAATGAAAATTTTGATTTAAAATCTATAGCGAATGATATTGCGTTGATTGAACTTAGTACTCCAGCACCAAATACAAGTAAATAGATTTAAAATTTTTAAATATTTTTGTGAACTAATTTTATTAAGATAATTTTATATATTACAGATTTTATTGGCCCTATTTGTTTGCCAGAGAGCAGTAATTTCCTCACGCAAGATTTTGTAGGAATGAATCCTTTTATTGCTGGTTGGGGTTCAATCAAATATCAAGGCGCCACGTCAAATGTCTTGCGCGATGCACAAGTACCAATTGTAAATAGACAAATTTGTGAACAATCCTATAAAACTGTTTTCAATTTCATCAATTTTAGCGATAGGGTAAGATAAATCTAATTAATTTACTATTAATAATTATGTGATATATAATATTAACAAAATTATATAATTTAGTAATTTAATTAAAAACTATATGTAATAGGGAAGTTCATAAATAATTAATACTATAAGTATTTATACTATATATATATTTGAGGTTCTGTCCCATAACAGAAGAATTGTAGAACAGGTGTTTATGTAATATATCTGTTAATATATTATGATTTTGCACTAATGTCCTGCCACTATCTCATCATATTAGTATATCTCATCATATAGCCTAATAAACGTATTCTAATAAAGTTGTTTTGCAACGGTGAAACTTTACAAACCGATAGAACTGAATACTCAAGGGGGCTGATAAAAGAATTATCTTAGTACACTATTATTTTAGAATAAGCTTCATTCTTAAACTGATCTTTAAAAATATCATTAAATACCCATGTCGCTAAAAGTAAGAGATGCATACTACTGTACATATATACATATAGATATATACATATATACAGAGCTATTAAAAGTTAATCTACTCGAATTTGGAATTTCGATATGTTCTAAGTTGTAGACACATTGTATAGATATAAATATAAAGACTACCTTGTGACTGCAAATAAAGTTAGAAATAGGGTTAGCTAGTGGGCATTTTTATATATTCAATTCACATTTTAATATATGTAGTATTTGAAAGTTTTATTTTGATTTTGTACCAAACTATACTATCTCAAAAACTAACAAATAAGACTATCGAAAAAAATTTATTCTGGTCAAAATTCTTAAACAATTGGGTCAGGCTTAGATATAAATTCATAATACGAGTATGAACCGAGTACAAAAGTTACAGAAACAATCAATATTGCTAGAAAAAAATTGGAAAAACAACAAATGTGGCAAAAAGCGATTAGTAACTTAAGATAATACAAAAATCTGGCTCACATTGTAGAATGAATTTATCTTGTAGGAAGCATGAAGCATATAGGTATGATGTAGGTGTTTAAAGCAAGGTTCAATTGTATTTAAATAGTCATATAAATATAAAATGCTCCATCTACAATGTAAATGTATTAGAAGCTACCCAATATGTTTTAACTTATGTCATATCTTTAAACGAGTATGGTTTATGTATTTTACTTACTATATGTATTTAATCTTAGTATAAATATTTCTATAGTAGAGTAGTGTATAAATAATAATACAATAAATATTAAAAAATTTTTTTGCTATAATATTATTTTACATATTACACTGTTTCCAGTTAATTTGTGCTGGCAATTCAAATGTTGATGCTTGCCAGGGTGATTCTGGTGGCCCTCTTATGATGCCACAGGTAGACCTAAAATATATATAATATGTATAAATATATATACTATATAATTTTATATATTTTTTTAAAATATTTTCAGATGGACACCATAGGTGTTTATAAATATTATTTACTTGGTATAGTTTCTTATGGCTATGAATGTGCTAGGCCTGGCTTTCCTGGTGTTTACACTCGAGTTGCTTCTTATATTCCTTGGATAAAGAGTCGTACGAATTAATTTTATAGTTTTTGCGTTTAATTAATTATTATACAATTAAAATGCGTTTCTGTGTTCGCTAACAAGTTTATTCCCATAAACAACTCGTTTTAATTATAAAATAAATTATATATGTATATGAATAATATTTGTAAATGAACAATTTTAGTCTTATCTCTTATTTATTCAAAAATTTTACAATTTTACAGTGCAATATTATTATAAAATTATTTGATTTCTAATATTAAATAAATGTAGATTTTATATGTGATAACAAAATTTATTGTATTTAGTTTTTATTTGTTTTTAAATTATTTTATGTAATTAGAAAAGTAAAAATTACTTTTAATTACTGATAACAGAAGTTAAAGACATAATTTTTCTAAATTCTTGGTTTCTATATATAGGTATATAAAAATGTTGGAGAAGAGCATATGATCTAAGGATTTTGGAAAAATTGTATGATTTCTAAGGAAACTTCTGATAAGTTTTTAGAATGTAATTTTTGCAGGAAAGTATAATCAAAATAATAAATGGTTTTTTCTAAGAAAAATATGTTAAATTCTCAAAAAAAAAAGAAAGAAAACATATGATTTTGAACCAAGTTTATATATAGTAAAGCATGTTGAATGGATATAAGATTTAACCTACATTCAGCTTTTGGGATATTGAGGATTGAAAGTTGTTTTGCATAGACCTTTATTTAGAAACAATTTTTGTTTTTTAGTCGAACGAATCAATTCTAGAATTTAAGGATTGCATTAATGAAATACTCTGGTATAAAAGGTGCAAGTGAAAAAGAACTCAAGTTCTTGAAATAATTGTAAGTTGCAACAATTCATAATAAGTTAGATATTTTTTATATAGAATAAAATTACATAATATACATAATATAATGGTTTTTATATCAAACAATATTTACAGTATGTATTTGGTTTTTGAAACTGAACGTTAATCGAAAATTGGAAGAAACCTAATTGCCTGAACAAAACCCAGAGCTGAACCAAAAAATTGTTTTAGAAGGATTTAGTTTGGTTAAGAACTGAAATTATTTATGCTATAAACTATATCGATTGTTTAACCAAGTCGAGAGAACGGAAAATACTGCGGAAAAGCTGAAGTAGTTGAAGAAAGAAGATTTAAAGATCGCATGCAATAACTCCATTAAATATACGAGATTAGGGAACGTATGCAAGCAACAGAGTTGCTTGAAGAGAAGTACTGCTTCAAACCGAAACCCAATAATAGTTAGAAAATGAAACTTAAAAAAATAGCTACTTAAGTAAACTATTCCTTTTTAAAGAATGAATGAAATAGTTTTGTAATGACAAAAAAAAAATTTTATAGAAAACAAAAATATTCGGAACTGCACTAAAAACTGGAACTGAACCGATATATTTATCTTTATTGAACCAGAAAGAATAATTTCCAATTCGAATTCTATGATATAAATTAAGCAACTAAAATAAATCATATATTATTTCATTAATTAAATAATAACTATATTACTGGAAATTTCTTCAATATGCAATTAGGAACGTATCCGTATAGTCGTATTTAAAATGACATACTTTTCGAATGCGGTAGTCTGATGTGTTAAACGAAAATAATGCCTCCTCTTATTAAACTGCGATCAAACTATTACCTGTTGATTATTATTTATTTAATCGGATAATTTTTTTATATCAAGTATATATCAAGTCTTTTAGATGCAGGAAATAGAGAGAACAACAATTCGTTATAAATTTCGACTTAGATAAGTACCCAATACTATTCAACTTAAACTCACAATTTTGTAATAAGTCAGAACTACTGGTACTGTAGCAGTTCGTATCAGAAGACTATTTTGTATGAGTTCAGGATGGATGGCAGACCAAAAGATAGACTGATATAGATAGATACATAGATTTACGAGTATAGAGAGATAATCAACATCACTTAACATATTGTTATATTTTATTATTTAGAACATTTACAATACATGTGGATATAATATATATGGATACCTGTGACAAACATTTTAGCAAACTCAATATACCATCTCTTCGAATAGTTTAAAGGGTTTTAAAATATGAATTACAAATTAAATCAATAAATATTATTATTATTATTATTGGAGATGTATTTATTTTTTTGATATTATACAATAAAATTTTTATTACTTTAATTTACAAATATTTTCTAGTTAAATAGCAATGCGGGTTTTTCTTATTGAATGTGATTTTTATTCTCACTGAGATACATTAAAAAACTATTATTCTTTACAAAGAATGTAATAAATGCACATAAATAATATTTTTGTTTCGTTATTAGTAATGACGTATATTGTATTCCGTTTGGTGATGCTGTTTTACACTATACGTACATAAGTCTAATTAATAGTTATTATTGAATCTATTTAATAGTACAGTGGGTTTTATTTGATTAGTGAAATTCAAAAATGTTTAATAAAGACAGTAAGATTGTAATAAAAGTATTATATTAATAAAATAAATATTAATTAATTAATAAATTATTACAACTATTAATAAAATAAGAAAATTTATAATAATAATTTATTAATTATTAACATAAATAATTAATATTGAGTTATAAGGTTAAAAAGATTAGAGATGAGAAGTGATAATAAGCAGATTAGAACAAAATAGATATCATGGTAGAAATCATAGTATATGACAAGACTTTCAAATTAAATATAAGCATCTATATATCGGAAGGCGATGATTTAGCAAATTTAAATGATTCAGTTGCATTTATGCATATTTAATTTAAAATACCAGTTGTTATTATGGTTAACTTAAAATGGTTAATTCTGGTTAATTAGTTGACATTTTCTGTAAATATATTAATCTACAAATAATTTTAACGATAATTAGCCTGGTTAAAATTTATATATATGTTATTAAATTGGTTTTCCATCAGAAACTTATAGAATAGATAACACATAATTAATTTAATAGTAAAAAAAATTTGATATTAATGGTCAGCTAAAAATTTATTCATTTCATTAAAAACTTGCTTTTCCCACTATTATCCCCTTTTCTATACAAAATAGATTTTTTGTTATGTCACATAAAATTGATTATAAACAGTGTTTTCCATTTCTAAAAAATATTTTTAAAGTCTTTATTAACAATTAAGCTGTCTAATTTATTTATTTAGTTTCTAAAGAAAATTATTTTTTACTAACTATATAATCTTACAGTTGTTTTAGTCATATTATGGAATATTGACATATCTCTTAAATGTCAACTCAGAGAGTATTAGGCTTTGATGCAGAATTATTTAATATGTTTATATACGGAAACTACCGATAGTCATATTGCAACCGGAACAAGTTTTTTAAAACATTAAACAGAGATGCAAATCTCAGATGCTGCATGTTAGAAATTTAATCAATGAGTAAGGGGTGCTAGTTAAGTTTTAGCTCTCTATCTAAACGGTTCTTGATGGAGTAGAGATAATTTTTTTTAATTGAAATATTAATTATATAAAAAGTTAATAAATAAATGATTGCAATGAAATTATTAAATCTAATATTGTGTGTGATTTTTGTATTTACAAAACGATTTGTTACAAGTCAAGGTAAACGTCATATCGAATTTTGTATATATTAACTATTTGATTAGTGACACATCTGAAGTGCATATATAAATGAACTTGTATTTTTTTTATAAATCGAAACTATAAATATAATTTTTCTATTACATATCTATTATATAACTACAATAATTTATTTTGAAGTGCATTTAAATGGCTGTTACACACCGTCGGGAGATATTGGCATATGTACATCACTTAAGTTATGCCCACAAGTAGTAAATCTTTTCACTAGAATGCCACAAAATACTGCCACACAATATTCCAAAGCATTGCAGCGCAGTTGTGGTAATCGCATCTCTTTCGATAATTACCCAATTGTAAGAGAATAATAGATTTTTATTGATTGATATAATCAATTTTGTATTTTGTAGGTTTGTTGTACAGAAATACATGCAGGTATACCTAATAATAATAATAACAACCCAAGACAAAACCCAGATAGAGATACATTTACTCTACCCTCGTCTACAACTGAAAAAATAGATGAGGCAAAAATATTGAGTCACACAACGCCACGAAGTGAAGGATCTGATAATGTTTGTCAAGGACCAACAGGAGATATTGGATTTTGTATATGTAAGTACCATTATACATTTATATTATAAATTACATTTAAGAAAATGGTGTTATTCTTTTTTAGCTATACATAATTGTACAAACTTATTGGATCGCATTAGAGCCACTCCAAATGATGAAAATTTGAAATCTGAACTAAGATCATCGAATACAATTTGCGGTTCAAAAGACATGAATGTTTGCTGCCCTGTAACTAATAGTAAATCGAGAGCAGTAAATACCGGTGAGACGCCGCGACGTTTGCCAACTGAAGATGAGGGTTGTGGTTTTGTACGTCAAGCAACTGGTAAAATCGTTGGAGGTAGAGAAAGCGAAATTGGTGATTGGCCTTGGATAGCGTTAATTGGTTATAATGCTTATAGTTTGAATCCGTTTCGTTGTGGTGGAAGTTTAGTTACCGCAAAACATGTCATAACAGCAGCGCATTGTATTACTCGAGATCTGTAAGTCAAAGAAAAAAATAGTAAAACTCTTCACAATAACGACAGTTATTAATTCAATAGCAAATGTTAGGGATCTATAATAATTTGCTTAAGTTTCATTGATATAATTTATAAAAACTAAAATATGTGCTAATTGCTGAAAGAATCATTTGTTTATACCATAAAGTCATAAACAAATATTTTTTTAATTTTTCTTCTTATTGGTGAAAAGCATCGAAAGCCATCGTTTAAAATTTGAACTCACTAAAACCATCTATACGATGTAAATATGTAAATTTGTAAATAGCTACAAAGCTTTCAGGGCATCAGTGTTTATAGCACTGTGTGTCTCGTATTTTTAAAAATTGTTTACAAATAGACATAGTTGTTATTTAGTTATAATAACCCATTACCGCCTTTGTTGTGTACCCGCCTTCTCCCGTCTCGTACAAGTTCGGTTAGTGATTCCTCAACTTGATCACTCCAATTACTGTTTTAAATACCTTTTTCGCTGGAGCATACTTCATCCATTTTCATGACATGACAGTCAGCGAAGCCGCTGAATATTAATTCGTTGAATTATATAAATGTCGTGGTAATCCTCGTATAACTCATGGTTCATTCTTATGTGGTAGTTGTCGTCAACTCATAGAGGACCAAATATCTTACGAAGAACTTTTTTCTCGAATACTATCTCAATACTGCTTTATCATTCAGTGATAACGTCTATGCTTTTGCGCCATACTGAAGCACAGTAAGGATGAGGGACCTATAGTTTGTCTTTTAGTTAAGGATAAGGGACCATAAATTTCGTTTGTCGAGAGAGAGCTCTTCACCCCAATTGCCTACTGAACCCATAGTAGCACCTATTAGCAATGGTAATTCTTCGTTGATTTCCAGACTGACATCATTGTTGTTTATTACGGCAATGTCAAGATAGATGAAATGCTTGACATATCCGGAAGTATAGTCGCCAGCCACAAGCTCGGCGTTCGAGCGGTGCACATTTGTATCAGTAGCCGATATATATTTCGGTTTGCCCTCATTCACCGCTAATCACATTCTTACAGATTTCGATAGCAACAAAGGCAGCTGTAATATCATTACAAATAAATATACCAGATAGATATATAACTGTGTTTTCTCATTTTCATTCCAATTAAAAAAGTTTAATATTATTACTGTAATTGACCAGCAATGCAAATAATATAGGTTTCTTAAATTAACAAATTTAAATTAATTATGCTACACTTATATAAAGTCTGTCAGCTTCTGAGAAATAATATTCCATTCATAGAGGTGTAATTAGTTTCTACATAGGTTGTCTAGTTATTTCTGCTGTGTGCTAACATATTGATTTTAACTCGTTAAATGATCTGTCAGTTTCGTTTTAAATAATCGTGCTAACAGTTATCTATTAACAAAAATCTCTTAGGGATAAAAGAACATTAATACTATATGTATAATATATTTTAACCATTTTTTAGATCATTTGTACGCTTAGGTGAGCATGATTTGAGTACACAATCCGAGACAAAGCATTTGGATGTAGATGTCGATAAGGTAAAAATTAGTATATTGTGGAATATGATTATATAATTTATATACGAATATTTTATTTAATACAAAAAATTATTTAGTTTATTTTTATATAAAATCATAAATTTGAAACGAGTTAACTATTTTAATGGCTTTTTCAATAGGTAGTCGG